CCGAATTCAAACCAGATATTCATCCAACAAAGAAGATTTAAATCTCGACGTGATCACCCCTTCCGACTTCAATCTGGGCTCATTACAGCCCCGCCTAACTTGTTTTTTTTTTCCGATGGAAAGACGGTCAAGCTGTTTTTTTTTTGCTGCGGTGTCGTATAACAATTAAGTATTGCTCGTATACACAGTAGGCCTACACAATAGTCGACAAGCGCTAACAGATTTCCAATCGCTTCGTCGTCATCAAACGCTTTCAGTGATCGGCAATTTTTAGAACGAGGCACACGCGGTGGTCGCCACAAAATTCAAAAATCGCGTTGCGGCTTGTGCTTAAACAGCAGTAATTTTCATATCAAAATTCTGCTTGGTTAATTGCATACTTCGCAACTAATGTTTTGAACTGTGAATGGAGTAGTCTTTCTAACAATTCATCAGAGCGCACAAGAAGCATATCGGACGGCAGCTAGAAAGCTTGCTTCATTCATCGCCTCTAAGTAATTGGACTACAATCGTCGTAGCTTATTGGTGAGGACTTTATTTGTAAAGGCAAGGTGCCATATGAATTGGAAAAATACATCCAAGTTGTGGCTTTGAAACTCTGGAAAAGTAGGCTGTGATATTACAAGCTATGAAGCTAATGCTTTTTCTCCACGGTTTACAAGTAGATCGACTCCAAAGAAAAGTATTTCAGGAGATCGTTCTTCAGCAGAAATTGAAGGATTCGTGGTAAGAATGAGAGGAGGAAGGTGTCAGCAATTAACCTGACCGCTAAATCGTTTGTGAATCCGGGACTTTGTGATAATCACATTTTCGTTCATCGCAGATCATAAGATTGCATTATCTTCGCGGTCTTCTGCATCTATTAATGCAGATCTTTTTACCCAGATCTTTTGCAGTCGCCTGAAGTGTGTTTTATTAAAATTAGTATTTACTTTCGTTCTCTTCTTGAGAAAGCCTCAGTGGTAATGAAATTCAATCTGACCGTCCTATTTGACGATCTGAGTTAAATTCGACCAAGTTTTATATTTCCGAGAAGAAGTTGATAATCTATGCTTGCACATCCTCTAATCTGCCAGTCAGTTTTAGAAAAACACGTTGCTGATTGGACTGTTGCAGCATGCTTTCTATTTTCATTTTCTATTTCTTATTCAAAATTGCAGTCTTGTATCAATTGTTGCTGACCTTCTTCATTGAAGTTTATAGTCCAAGGAAATAATCAGCTTGTCTCTAATGAAAGGTCTCCTTTTCTCTCTACCACTCTTCTCCGCTAAAGTAAAATACTCCCGGTTCTATTTATGTCTAAACAGCGCAGGTAATTTGAGAGATTTCGAATTTACTTCAACAAGGAGCCTAAATAGATATACACATGCGCATCGACGAAACATCAAACGTTTGAGTGGCGAGCATATTTCTCACGATAGTCTCATCAATGTTGTAATGCTTATGTTCACTATCATCATATTTATTCAGACAAGAGCACAAAGCTAAAAGGATAAAAAACCATTGAAAAACTTGATCTGTGTTCTAATGAATAAATACAAATACGCTTAGTAGAATTTATTTCGTAGTGCAAGTATACATACAGAGACTAATCAAATTTAGTGCGTGCACGATTTTGATGAAAATAAAATTCGAAAATAGAAGTGATTTGTAGTTGGAATGATGAAGAATGAGCCAAACTGCATCATTGTCGGCAGCACTGTGACTTCTGTATGCAGAGGAACGGCAGGGGACGGTCAGTGTGATATAAGCATGAACATGTTTATCCAGGCTATTACCACCAACTATACCACAATCTCAGGAGTTCTCACGGTTTGAAATATCGGGGAGCGTATGCTAACCGTTGCACTACCGACGCTCGCTTTGCACAGCACTCTTATTCACGCTACAACGCCTAAATAAGAGTGCTGTGCAGTGAGCGTAAATAAGAGTGCTGTGCAAAGCGAGCGTCGGTAGTGCAACGGTTAGCATATGCTCCCGGGAAGAGTGAGGTCTGGGCTCGAATCCCGGCTGACGCAAACGATTTTTGCACAGCACTCCACATATTGGGTATACTATAAGATCATACCACTGCAAGTGGCAGTCAAAATAGAAAGAATTTAGACTGATTATCAGGCATATTGAAATTTGAGCAGTGGCCATAAGAAAACACTCGAAAAGAAAGTTTTAAAAATCAAAGAGTTTGATAAAGTTTGATAAAATGTTTGTAGATTCTTGAGAGATCTGATTTCCCGATGGTTTACTAACGTTTCGGCGGTCACGCAGACTTCATCAGTACTACTTGCCCTACGCTCACCCCTATAGTTTCCATAATAGTCGTAAGCCACCGGCAATCAATCGCTTTGAACAGCAGCATCAAGCGATCATTTCACTTGACATACAGTGATACATTTTCTGTGCCCGCTGCTTTTAGTCGCAGGAGTGAATCGTAAAGCATGTGGTACTGATGAGGTGTGCGAGAATGCCGAAACGTACATATAACACTAGAGATACCATGCCAAACGTTTAGAAGGCTTAGAACATTCGATTAGCCTATATGGAATTTTCGAGCGAGGCCTTGAAATAATCGATTGAAAGATATTGCTGAAATCAAAGGTTTGAGATCTCTGAGACTTGTGATATGCAGTGTTTACTACGAGGGCGCCGTGGCTGAGTGGTCGTGATGCTCGTCGCGGCTCACATGGAGCCGAGCCTCACCTGCCAGCTCTCTTCGCCAGTCGACGACAATGCCTTATGGAACGCCACAGCCAGGCTATCCTTGAGATTGCAAGGAGACCAGCTCAATAAGTATTCCGTGAGGTTTAAGAAGAAGAAAAAACGAATTGAATGCTATAAGTGTGAGATCCGTACAGTGGAAGAAAGCACTGTGAAAACGGATCAATATAGTGTCTAAAAAGTGTTTAAAGTGGTCACTCAATGTCTGAGAAAAAAAGTGGAAAAGGCCTTGCCCTCAAAGGGCCTAGATATAGGTTCCGACTATTGAATAGGGCCGTTTGCTGACGCTTTCTCTCCAAACGTGGTTTTTAGCAGACATTAGTAAATTTTACTAGAGAACAGACTGCTTTCACTACGATCAACGTCTTTGGTAGTAATTACAGCAGGACTTATTCTTTATTTTGCAAATCACAGTGCAGCAAAGGGTCACTTGGATAACGAAATTTTAAGGAATGTTTACTTACGGTTGCTCACAAAGTGGGAATTCTCCGGCAAAATTTTTTATTTTCATTGTACAAGCCGCATCACAGTAGCAGGCGATGTTGAAGACGTAATTCTTAGCTAATACGTTAGCAAGCACTCTACCACTCGGAATGTAATATGAATTCTGCCTGTCCCGCTGATGACAAATCGAAAATTCCATCACCGCTGTATAGTTATTGTTAGTGGCATGAGCGTTTTATGAGCTGAATAAGCAGTTCCTCGTTATACTTCTTTCTTCCGGTTCCTTTTTTGTTCAATAGCTTAGCGACGGGCAGTTACGCCCCACCTTCCTTTTTGCATTTCCAATATATTGTGACGAGCAAGCGGAATTCAGCCAATGCAAGAAGAAACTGCGTACACCGACTCCAGCAGTGCTAAAATGTCATCATTTCGCCCTAAAATTATCCTTGAAAATGTTCTCGACATGACCAGATGGACTTACGTTAATTGTTCTCAGTATTTTTTTTTAAATATTTTGGAAAGTGCATTATGGATTTCATTGAAATCTGTTGCTTCAATTATGAGCAAACATCCTGACAGCATATTTCAAGCTGCAAATACATTAGAGAACTTGGAGACTCATAAAGGCATCTTATCATACCAGCCTTGTCTTAGCTCATTAGCTCAGCAGTCTAGGAAAAGTGTTGACATGAAAACAGAGGTTTTCTTGTAATCATTTCTCACTGCTGGATTCCGAGATAGTAAAGGGAAGCGAATAATTATCCATAGGTTACTATACAATTCTTCTATGTCACTCTGACTTTTTGTGATGTGCTTGTATACTTCTTTGCGGGGGTTACAACATGAAATTAAGTAACTTTAGTATCCATTTTAGACAATCAACCCGCTGATTTCATGTACTAAAGGCAGTTATTTGCGTTATTTGGAAGTTGGGTCTATACGGACCCCATGGTATGGGTCTACTACTACTTTATAACAAAACAAGAACGACGCTACAGGGTCAACAAAAAAAAAAACAAGAACACTTTCTAAGGAATGTACCCAATAGTGACACCATAAAATGTGAATTACAAAATTCAACGTCAATAAAAATATTTTCTGAACTGTTGTTATTTGAAATCTGTGTCGATGATATTCAGACTTTATGCGCTAATACAAAACAAAAGCTACAAACCTTTCGTTTGCTCTCATGTCGGCCCATTGTCTACAACTGCTTTCAATTTCTAGCCTAAGCTACACTGGCAGATAATTTTGAGCAGATTAACTATGCGAGCGGTAAGGCTCGAGATAATTTCAGCAAAGTGATCGCACTCGAGCTGTCAAACAAAGTCTTCTTTCATTAAAGATTAATTGAGAACTAGAATTCCCATTTGACTTGACCATTTTTGGTCGTAGTCAGAAATGAGTCCCACCGGCACAGCAAATGTCATTACGATTATACTCTCTAAAGTGGACCTATGACGGGGCAACTAACAATACTCGTGGCAAAATTACTCTTATTTCCACAGCCTTGACTGCTTATACGTTACAAGCTATTCTGCCTAAGAATTGCGTAGAAAGAGAACTGTATAACAATAAATTTTGTTTTGGCCCGGAGTGGAAGACAAAGGAATAATAAGCGTTAAGGAAAAACACATTGCGGAATGGAAGGCTAACAGTCCAATAAAAACTAAATTCAACTTCCGTGTTATTGTTAGTTCGCTTTAAAGCGAAGAGGAACTGCGGCACAGGAATTTTTTAGAAGATTTGCGAACGCAGTAAAACTGAATAAGGTAATTCTGTGTTATTTTAGTTCAACACTAAAAAGGAACATTAGAAATTTCGTGTATCAGTTATGGCAATGGCTGTCAGCTCAACTGGGGTTTATAAAGCGAAATCGAATACCCGACTAAACCTGTTGAAGGTTGGTGGCTGGTAGCTAACATAGAGATGCTGCTGAATGAGTGGTCGGGCAAATGTGGCTCGGTGGTGAGTGGTAGAGCACACGTCCCCGGATGAATGAAACTCGGGCTCGATTCCCGCCTGACGTCATGAAACATTCACCTAACACAGAGTGTTTTCGCACTCGATTGCTAGCTGGCTGGTATTTTCATCATATTATACCTTTCCTTCGAGTGCTTTATTAAGACCACGCTCAAATTTCAATAGATTCTTTCATTATTATTGGAGCCAACATGTCATGTGGTCTGGTAAAAGCTCTTGTACAGCCCGAGACACGTGTTTCGTCCTTACAGACTCATCACCCGGGCAGAACCCGTCGTCTGTCGATCTTTTATAGTCAGTTCTCTCGGGAGCCTTACACTCCTTATATATAGTTGTATAAACCACTTTGCTAGACAAGTAGCTGCTCTGCACGTAGTATTAACCGGTAGCGGAACGCTGAAAGGGTCAAGGTCATATGAGTCATGCGTAATGATTGATGATGAAAAATACAACGGAAAGAATCATCAATTATATCTATCGTGCCATGAAGGAGTACTAGTGATTTTGAAAATAATACGACGATGCAGATATGATTTGTTGGATTTGGTGGTAATTTTTACAACATTGTCGAACTATACAGTTAGAAAACTCACCTAACAGAAAGGCAAAAAAAAATTCGAATGTACTTTTCCCATAGAATATGTTTGAAATTTGTAACGGAATAAAAACAAACGTTGCGAGAAGGAAACAGAAAAAATTAGTTTCAAATCTTAATTAGGACGCAGCACTCCAAAGACCGAGAAATTCACCTTTGTATGTTCGTGATTGCAGCACAAAATGGCCAGAAGAACTACGCTGACATTCAGAGTATAGGAAGGCATGTAGGAAATACACTTACCTAAAGAATCTGCAATTGAACTTAAAAAAGAATGAATTTTTTGAATAGTCTAAATGGTTTTCTGGAAAATAAACTCACGCTGTAATGAAGACGAATTGCGTACTGTGCTAAATTTATGCTTACAAGGATATTGTTAGAGCGTCGAAAATAGGTGAGTGTTCAACACAAAATCCAAAGATGTCATGAAAATGGCAAGACAACAATTGTTGTTACTCATATCGACATTACAAAACTTAGGTGGAGGTATGGGGAATCGAACCCCAGACTTCTCGCATGCAAAGCGAGCGCTCTACCCCTGAGCTATACCCCCAGTACACTCCCGGCGGTGAAGCTCGGTGGGAACATTGTCAGTATAAATTCGATAATATCCAGTTAGGCTAGTTATTACTAATGATTACGATTTTTTTACAGAGATGTTTAGTTGCATGAACTTCACATTCTCATCAAATTGAGGGTGATTCCTATTGGTTGCCATACAGATAAAGCTCGTTCTTATTGATACAAATCATTTAGAATCCTTCAGTACAAATAATCAAATTACAGCTGCTTATACGGCGAATATCGTTGGCATCGTTGAAGATTTGCTTCTGAATAAGAACTTTAATGCTTGCTGCTGACATGAAATACTAATATATACGATGTCTAGGTTGTACAGAGTATTTTCGCCTAGTGTATCCAACAATGTTCGGGCCGTCCTGAAAATTTCAGCATCACCGTCTGTCCACACTGCGGCTATACGGCTCATAGAATTTCATACATTTCTGATAAAGAATCTTCTATGAGTCTCCTTCATCTTGAAAGCATTTGTTTGATCAGTGGCCCAGGTATGAACTTAAATCTGCGCCTCGAAAGGCTGGACTTTTCGCTAATTGAGTAGCAGCATGCCACTGCAATGCTCCACCTAGCGTAATTATTTCGAAAAGAAAGTGGAGATCTAGTTCACAGTGTCAAAATCGAGACAGTCAAACGAATTTAAAGGCGATTTATAGGAAAATCTGTCACCTTATTATTGTTTTCTTAATGTGCGATGAGTTCCAC